CTTCACATTGCTTTGTGAGGCTACATTTTGAGCAAACTTTTGATCACAAGTCACTCAACACACACAATGGGACAACATTACTTTGGAGACAAGGTTTCACTAGGCAATATAAAGAAATTGCTTTTTGCATTACTTTAAGCCATTCATCTGTAAATTTACATAGTTGGAGCTGATCAATCGTTAGCACTATACAAAAATTTAAATTGTTAATATATGCTCAAACTAGTAAGATGAGAGATAAAAAATAAAATGGTTTCCAATCATCCTCCTAAGATCTGTAATTCATGGGATATGGTTCCGAATGAGTTGCCCCCCTATTTGCCACTTAGTAACATCAATATTTACCTACAACAAACATATTACATGTTAGTACTAACATGAGACATTTAGGTATGTGCTAGCAAACAAAATTCACATACTCATTTGATTAAAATCAAAATCTGAACCCCGAGCGATGCAATCCATGTACTTCATAACAAACACCCCACACTCGCTATCACTACACAAAAGATACATCACTTTTTGACTCAATAACTACCATACAAGTACCCCTACACCTAAACGTTGAACATACAACACATACCCAATCTGTTGGGGGGCTGACTCCATGAATTCAAACGGCCAATCGATGATCCCAGGAACAAATGGTGTCAAATTTTCTCTCAAACTTGTTTGCTGCCTRATAATGTAAAATTGAACAGACACATAAGCAATCCAACTCATTATCTTATACCCAATTAGTAGTGTAAAAATCAACTCATTATACATACCATGGATCTTGCATAAGCATCGTGGAGGCTGTTGTTTAAGGAACTATAGGCTTCGATTTTTTGGTCCAACATATTCACCACTAGTAACTGCCAGTGTGAACCATCGGGATAAAGGTATTAAAACGTTATTGCACGTCAATATTTCATTGGGCTTCAACCATTGATATAGAACATCGTGGTGGACATCCGATAAATACAATTGCATTACAAACAATTAGCATTGGGATTATATCACAAAATGCATCACGAGCATATGGATTTCAGTCGCATTGCAATCAACAACCCATACCAATGTCATCGAAGATACATAGCATATCTTGATGGTGTTGGTGTTTCTTGCCATTAGCAAAAACCCATACGTATCAATGGCCTACACAACCACACACGTCAAATCAGCCACATTGCCAATTAGCCTTATACAACATGGAACACTCCCCTAAACCAAACTAATACCCTATCATAAACCCATTCTTTCAGGTCGAAGAGGGGCAACAAACAATCCGGGGTAAAAAATACAACACCATCGCTCCATACCAATTGTTCACTACCATAACTATTAATCAACCTCATTACACAAGAAAAAAATATTGATACAAACAAAATCTAGTTTAAAGCAAATCACTTAAATAGACACAACCTATTATACAGTTATGTGCACTTGCCCTCTCTTGTGGTTCTTCAAGAACTATTTCACAACTTCCAAGTCCTCCTTTGGGACCAAGTCCTTCATCTTAAAAGAATTCCACAATGATCGTGCATCCACCGACTGCAACAAATATTCCACTAGTCACTAAACTACTAAGAAAAGCAAATCAAACCAAAACAACCCTACAAACAACATCAAGACAACACCAACAGTTATCATTCACCTTCCCCTTCACTTCTCTTTTGGACCCTGCAGCAATGGCAAATTCTTTTGCTACCTACCCTTGCTGCCCAGGATCTAGGTAGGGCGACACCACCGTGCCACTTTGCTTTCGCTCTCTCCTTGCTCGAGGAAACTTACGTTTGTAAGTTTTGGCAATGGAGGGCGAGACATTAACAATCTCGCAGGATGGGGCTACAACGCTAATCCTTTCAGGAGATTGCTCTATTCCCATAGTGCCGCATGCAACTCCAACAGGCAAGTCTACACCATAATCATCATCGTCTGGCACGTAGTTTGCCAAACCTACCTGCCCCTCACTAAATGGCACTACATCAGGGTCCAACCCTTATTTCTCATCATTCTACGAAGCCTATTAAGTTAATCACAAAGTGCCTCATTTTGCTTTTTTGTCCAGGAATACTCTCTGGCCTCTATACATAGAATTTGATATTTCATAGATTCCATGCAAGATTTGCAAAATTCCTAAAAAATCAAGTTATAAGCAATTTAACAAATCTCAACATTAGTTGAAAGTCAACTTGTATATAACTCAAATCTCAACATAGAATTTGGTACGCTAATCATACCTTTTGCCTAGGCCGACGCCACCCGTGACCAGCATCCTCTCCATCCGAAAAAGGTTCCTCACCCACACCAGGGCCCCCTCGGTCCACAAACTGCATATGAACACCAAAGGTTAATAGTTACCATGTACTTATATCACATAAAGAACTCCATTGTAAAGAAAAAAATAATATCATTAATTCAACTTACACAGCCCTTCGACCGAACATCCACTAAGGCCACCTCCTCGCTAGTAGGATTCAAAACCTCAATAACCTGTAATAAGTTTATAAATCCATATGAGATCTTCAATTTCCACCAAAACTAAATAAATAAAAACTACAAACACTATAAGTAGAGGAATAGAAGTGAGAATCGTTTTCGGTCTAGCTTTCTTCAACAATCAACCCTCTTCAACTTCCAATGATACCCCATATTCCCCCACTTAAACAAACGAGGACTAGCATCAGGAATTGAAGGACTGAATAGCGTTGTGTGCTCGTAAAGCCATGCCTACAAAAAAGAAATAAGCCAATAAGCGATCATCAATTGAATGAGAATAACATAAAGAATAAATAAAAAAAAATGAATGTTATCCACACTAACCATCAACACAACATTACATCCAAATAGGCAGCCGCTATACGAGGATGAGCCTCTGCTTGATCCATCACCACAACCGGAAACAAACTGATCAAAACCACTGAGCAAGAATTGATGTACACATTTACCCAGGCATAATCACCGATACGCTATAAATCGTCAACGTATCCAGCCTAGAAGGAGCTCACCCTCGAACTGCCACGGGGAAACAACACACAACCGAATAAGAATGGAATAATCAACTTTACCACCTCCTCAATGCACTCCTCACCATCTAATCGTACAATCTTCTTTAGTTTACGCCACACAAGATCCAACTCTATAGAGGCATAGTGATTTTGATCAAAGCCAAAAGATCTTTGTAACAATCCACTACTAGCAACGCCTTCCGATAGGGAAATTGTACTACCCAACAGGCCAAGACCCGTTATCAAGGAAACATCAGCCTCGTTGAATTGCAAAGTCCTTCCACCAACTATAAAACACTAGCTAGTCGAGTCCCATGATTTCACTAAATAACTCAATRAGGACATCTCTACAATTACTTGTGGTAGATCCAAGAAGTGTCCAAAGGGAATCTCTTGGAGCCTTCTCTTATGCTCCAAACTTAGTGACAAACTCTACACCATCCCCCTGAATCTTTTCGTGGAGCACCTAGTCCCAACTTTGTCACTGTAATTTAACAGCCTATTGCTAGCACAAGTAACAAACAAAACATAGTACCATTTAAATTTCATATAAAAAATGACAAAACTCAATTAGCACCGGACAAAACCAAGAAATCAACTCCCAAGAAATCATCAAAACCAAAGTAAATGAACTATGCAAAATACAGACACAACTAGATGCTTACTGCACTCAAAGCAATGGAAAGCACGTTGTAGCTCTGGTGATGAGAGATGAAGTTCCGAAGCTCCGGTGATTAACGGCTCTGAAAAATGGGGGGAAGACGTTGTAGCTCCGACAATGAGAGATTAACCTCCGGCGATAAAACGACTCTGAGAATTTAGCTTTGGTGATCCGGTGATTAACGACTCTATAAAAAGGCTCTGAAAAATGGAGAACAGGGTATAGGTTCGAAATGAGGAAGAAGATGATGCAAAGACACTATAGCTTTTCGTAGAGCTCTGGTGATCCGGTGATTAACGGCTCTGAGAAACGGAGAAGAGGGTGAATGCTGTAGGTTCGAAATGAGGAAGAAGACGATGGGAAGATGTTGTACCTTTCGGCTCTAAGAAATAGAGAAGAGTGTGATGCTGTAGGTTCAAAATGAGGAAGAAGACGATGGGAAGATGTTGACTCTGAGAAACCGAATGATGTAGGTTTGAAATGAGGAAGAAGACCGGTGAGCAAGAAGATGATGGGAAGATGCTTTAGCTTTCACCGCCTCTGAGAAACAGAGAAGAGGGTGATCTGTAGAGCTCCGATGAACTATGAGTAACGGATCTAAGAAGATCAGTGAGCAAGAAGACGATGGAAGATGCTTTAGCTTTTGTCTCTGAGAAATGGAGTGAGCAAGAAGACGATGGGAAGATGCTTTAGCTTTTGTCTCTGAGAAATGGAGTGAGAAAGAAGACGATGGGAAGATGCTTTAGCTTTCGCCTCTGAGAAACGGAGAAGAGGGTGATCTGTAGAGCTTTGGTGAACTGTGAGTAACGGATCTGAGAAGACCAGTGAGCAAGAAGACGATGGGAAAATGATTTAGCTTTCGCTTCTGAGAAATGGAGTGAGCAAGAAGACGATGAGAAGATTCTTTAGCTTTCACCTTTGAGAAACGGAGAAGAGGGTGATCTGTGAGTAAGATGCTATAGCTTTGAAAGAGGAAGAAGACGATGAAAAATGCCGTTGGGGTGGAGGGGTATAATGGGTAAACCAATAAAATTATGATGACGTGGGGGAAGAGTCGAAACAAATTTTGGATTTGTTGGGTGGGGGTGGCATTGATTTCGATTTTCGTACGTCCTTCATCGAAATTTCGATTTCAGAGGGGGAGCTGACCGAAGAAACCCCTTATTTTTATGACAAACAGAACATCTTTTTAGAAAGCCCAACCAAACGCCACCTAAAATTTTCACGTGCAAAAGCATGTGTATTTTAGCCTGACACGACCCGAATTAATAAGTTTCAAAATTCAAATTTCTTAACCCTAACCCTAGGGCACGACCTTTCATTTCAACGTTCGGACAAACCCGGCCCAAGTTGCATCTTCAATTAAAGGGGTAAGCACAGCGGCGTCGTCGTCGGTTCACATCGCAGCTCAAAGAGACTAGACGTCGTAGACGAGACTACCGCAGGCAAGTTCGTTTATCCCCTACTTTCTCTGCTTTACTCTTGCTTACTTGCTTCGACACGATATATTAGGTGAATCTCTCTCTCTCTCTCTCTCTCAAACACACAGCATCACGTGAATTTCTGGATAAGGATCCTTTGAATCTTCTTCTGTGAAACCTGCACCTTTTTTTTTACTGTTTTGGTGGAACTGGAACGTCTTCTTGGAACTCCATTCGAATCTGCATGTGTTTCTATATATAACCTGGTACTTTAGATTTTAGGTTAAAGCTATTGAAAATGTATGGTGAGGAATAGAAGAACTCCGGTTCCTCTTTTCGTTTTAACCCGCAAGAGTAAATCTCTTTCCTTTCTAGATCTGTTTGTTCTGACGAGAATGAGCTATATAATTACCGCATCGTTCGATACACCTCGATTGGGTGCGCATTGCAGCCGTATTGAGAACAAAATGAAATTTCTTTTTTTTTTTTATCTTCCACCATTGAGGATCTATGAAGGGTGGAGAGGCATTCATTGACACGTTTTGATGCATTGTACTGAATTTTATGTTAAATATTGGCTAGGTATGGGCTGAATTCGGATTTGGTCCTCACACCGTCCTCGTAGTCACAGCGCCTTACCGCTGTGTATCTCCCCATGAATAAAAACATAAAAGTACGGAGATATTCCCAATACACAGCTGCAAGGGGCTGCGAGGACGGTTTTGTGAGGACCAAATCCGAATTCCTATTTGCTGGGTTTTATTTATATCTTCTTTATGTAGTAACATTATACAGTGGCATATCATGCATAGTCTGAAGAATTTTCCTGAGGTATTTCTTTCTTAGTATTCTTGGTTTACTGCTTCTAAGGGGTTTTGCTTGGCTGTTGGTGCACTTAGATTTGATTAATTAGTGGTGTTTTTCTCTTGTGGAAGGGGGCTGGGATTTGGATCAGTGCAGGATAAGTATTCAGAAAAATTAATTATGCATGTGCACATTCTTTTTGGAAAATTCTTCCCATTGACCCCCACCCAAACCCCCAATGTTTTGGTCACGGGGACCTCCTTATCTTTGGATAATGTAGAGCTAAAAGGATCAATATAGGAAAGGTTGAAAGTTGTTTTCTCCTTCTTTGGCATTACCAAGAAACTTCATTTTTGCATTTTTCATAATTAAGAGAGGTGTCTCATTCCATCAAAAATAGGGGAGCTCAAATTGGTAGATTCCCATCCTTGTTGAAATAGTATGTGGAACTGTGATTCATTAAGCTGCTTAGCTTGTTTGTGTTATTTCTTTCTCTTTTATGAAAATGACAACGTATGATCTGTGTCTGCAATGTACATCCATTTCATGGAGATGGAGTCTCTGAATGCCGTTTTGCTTGGATACTTTTGGTCATGCCCAATTTTGGCCTGATATAATGATCTGAAGCCATAGGATTCTTCTCTGCATTTTCTTTTATCTGAATTTAAGATGTCTTGTTTACCATTGTGTGCTTCTGTTCTATAGGTGTCTCTTGTAAAAAATGACTCGTGTTTACGTGGGGAATTTGGATCTGCGTGTGACTGAACGAGAACTTGAAGATGAGTTTCGTGTATTTGGAGTTTTACGGAGGTAAGATGAATTTGAAGCATTTTATAGGCATCTAGTCTAGCTTTTCTGTGGGCCAAAAACTAGACGGGAAATATTCCCTTTTTCTGATAAGTGCTATGATAATATCTATGGAAAAAGCTCATATAATTCAGGATTTATTTTATTTCAACAAACAATAATAATATTTCCTCGCGGTTATTTAGATGTTTCTCTTCCCTTGTTGCTTGATAATACAGGAACTCAAATTAGTTTCTTAAGGGTTGACTTAGGTAATGTTTAGTAGCATGGCGTTTTGAGTCTTAACATTTTTACTTGAATTATTGCATTGGAAATTGGGATAGTAAGATGTACATTGAGGGCAGAAATGGATGTACATTGAAGCCATCACTATCATAGTTATCCATTGGGTTAAATCCTTGAGAAGCTTTGATGACATTCCCACAAATGACTTGCTTAGAAAGTGGAAGGATGTGGCTGATTCTTCTCTTCCAAGAGCTGTTATTAGGCCGGTTTGGGTACCACCTCCTAGTGGGTTTTTTAAACTGAATTAATGATGGTAGCAGTGAGGGGATTCCGGGCCCTTCAGGTATTGGAGGTGTTTTTTGGAATTAGGAGGGAGGTATTATTGCCCTTTACTCGGGACCAATAGGTGCAGGAGACTCCTTGAGGGCAGAAATCCTGGCTGTGATGGAAGGGATCCAAAAAGCAAAGGAGCTGAATATAAGAAACTGAATTTCGATGGTAGCAGTGAGGGGAATCTGGGCCCTTCAGGTATTGGAGGTGTTATTGCCCTTTACTCGGGACCAATAGGTGCAGGAGACTCCTTGAGGGCAGAAATCCTGGCTGTGATGGAAGGAATCCAAAAAGCAAATGAGCTGAATATAAGAAAGTTGATCATAGAAGGGGATCCAAAGCTGGTAGTTAGCTGGCTGCAGAAAGATGAGACTGGCTGGTGGAAATTTGCTAATGAAAAGAGGAAGTTTAAATTTTTAGCTCAGGATATAGAGATCAAGTTGCAGTGGGTTAAATTTTAAAAGGAGTGCAAATGCTTTTGCTGATGTCTTGGCAAAGCAAGGGGTGGGAAGGTATCAACTTTTCTGGGCTGTTCTGTAATTGCTGTCCTCTATTGTCATCTTGGAGAGAGTTAAGAGAGTTTATTTCTCTCCTGGATGTTCTCTTGTATCTTGCTCATTTTTAATGAAAWTTCTGGTTATTGATAAAAAAATTCAAACTTTAATTTTAAATTAAATGTTTTAAAAAAGCCTATTAGCTCAAATTTAAATACATAAATATGTAACATATAAAGCATATTCAATATGAAAAATGCAAAAATAAAATAAAAAATAGCATACAAATTATATTCAAGCATGCCAAGCTTTGAATTCTTTCTTAATTGCATTATTTCAAATAGTTAATGTGATGCTTCATCTTAAATTCCTAATTCTACAAGCCACCTTTGTACCAAGCCCCTTGAGGTAAGCCCACCCAATTAAAAATATCTTTTATTAGGATGAATGAATGAACAACATTAGCAAATAGGGGTCATTTTTTTAGGGATTAAGAATTTTAAGACCCTAGCATGGACTTGTTTGGGCTTGCCTCAAGGGGCTTGGCCAAGGGTCTTGGGGCTCTGCCCCTACCCAATCACCATTAGGACTGTAATTGAATTGGATTCAGTGAAATCCGAATATGATCCGATTATTAAAACCTTACACATCCGAATCTGATCAGATTTGAAGACCTTGGATTTAAATTCGAATCCAAGTGGACTCAGATCGGATTTGGATTTAATCCGGTTATGCTTTAATCTTTAAAAATAAAACAAATTAAAACGTTAATTACTTTTCAACTTTTATATACATACTGAATTCATTATATATAAATTCATATATAATATATAAAATATATTTTTTATAATTAATATAAACATATAGAATTTATATATTAAAATCAATAAGTATTATAATATAATCGGACTTGGATGGATTCAAATCCGAATCCGATCCGATTTATTAATCAGATGCATATTTCAAAATCCAAACTCGATGTGATTATATAAATACATCATCCAAATCTGAGATAATTGGATTTGATGTCTGATTGGGCCTTGGATTTTCAGGTATCATTTGACAGGCTTAGGCACCATTCTTAAAAAACACCAAAAAGTGCAAAAAATAAAAAAGGTGCACGCCTAGGCTGAGGTGCAAGGTGCACCAAGTGGGCACACCAGGTGTGCACAATTTGAAAATGGTGTGCACTGTGTGCCTAGACAGGCGTGCTTTTAAATCACTGAATATGATATATATTACATATAATATTTATAAGATACATCTATGCAATATATATATATATATATATATATATATATATTCATATTTATAACAATATATTAAAATCTGACACTTAACAAACAGAATGGTAAAACATGATTCATGTAGCTGACCTGATATAGTTGGGACAAATCTTAGATGATGATGATTAACTTATTAAAATATGCATAATAAATTTTATGTATATTTTCTGTAACTCTAAATATAAACTTGGGTTATTTTTTAAATATAATTTTTTATCTTATAGTGGTAGGCCTGGATGCCCGGTCTGGGCCTAGGGATATACTATCAGGTCCGGGGTGTGGGCCAACTGGGCCCTGGTAGACCAAAATGCTGTTACTACCCAGTAAAAATTCGACCTGTGCCTGACCCTGCCCTGTTCAAGATCATCCCTGAAGGTAGAGCATGCTATCTGATTTTTGGCCTTGAAAAGTTTTTATAAGGATTGCAACAGCTTTGCCATTTCATCTGCATGAGTCAATGCAGTGAACAGTGAATACATGATGTATACGTGACAAAGTAAAAGGCCATGAAATCATCAGAATAAGGGGTGTCTTGTGCCTTCTTACTTATTATATTAGTATTATGTTATTTATCAAAAAAATATATGGTAAACATTAAGGGGTTATTATATATTCCCCACAAATATCCTTGTAGTTGTCTTTAGCAAAATGAACAAATTGGCGTGTTTCTTTTGCTATCGTTAGATTTGGTACTTCTAAGATTGTGAAAGTGCTGATTCCTTTTTTCTTGATGCATTTGGTTCATAGAAGTCATTTACCCCCTAACTCATGATTCTGATGAAGGGTCATTAGACAATGTTGGTCCTGACTATCCCGGACTAAGTAATATTCCATGTATGTGATTAGTAGTACTGTAGTAGTAATTATCAAAGCATGTTCTATTATTCTTCTCTTTACCTCAAATTCACATTTTTTTTTGCTGGTTCGGTAAAGAATAACCATGCACAAGGTCTCTCTTCTTCTTTTACCCTTCTATCACATTCGGGTTCTATTTGTCAGTGATTAATTTTAAGCCATAGTTCAAGTCAAATCAGTAAAGAAATGTTTTAGTCCTTCGTCAATGCCTTTTGGTGCACTTGAGGAACAAAATGTTAAACGGATGACAAAGAATGTTGAAGTGAAAATCCAATGGGTGCAAAGGTCGTCTATTTGCGTAACCGATGCATTAGCCAAACAGGGAGCAATTAGGGATCAGGTGTATTTTTTTGGGCTAGGTTGTAAAAGCAAAATGAACTGTATAATCAAAGGAGCATGGCAGCTTGGTTATGAGTTATGGCTTACAAAGAGTGTATGTAAATCATGTATATAATGGCTATTTATAACTAATAAAATTTATTGTTTTCTTTTGACAAATGGTGAATAATATTATTCTAAAGAGAGAAAACAAAAGGCTACAACTTACAACTCAAAATTCTCGTCCTAAATTAACGATTTCCATTGTTTTTTTTATCAGCTTAACATTATTGTTTTGTTGAGAGTGGGATAAAGATTTCCATTATTCTACAAAAAGCTTAAATTTACAACTCTTTAGAAGACTATTAATGGAGGTCCATTTCACCAAAGTTTTCTCCACAGCTGCACACACTTTCTCAAGGGGATTGGCCTTGTCTTCAAAAATACGTCTGTTTCTCTCTCTCTCTCTCTCTCTCTCTCCATAAGCACCAACAGACCACCCAAGGAAAAGCTTTCCACAATACCTTGCCCCTTTTGGAAAAGGCCTGACTTCTCCATTAAGCTGTAAGGGACGCCAAATCTGGAGGGGTGACCTAGTTCAGATCAAGCAACTTTAAAACATGAGCCCAAATCAATGTTTTAAAACACGGAGGCGTGATGCGAGGCGTTCCACTACCTAGAGGTGTGAGGCGTAATTCAGAATGCAAGAGGCGTAAGCCTCCCGAACACAAGGAGGCGTAAGCCTTCTTAAGAGGAGGGGGGGTTAGGAGGAGGATGAAGAGGAAGGGGGATCTCATTTTTTCTTTATTTTTAATAAAAAAATTTATATTAAGAAGAATAAAGATGCATAACAGTAGTTTAAAGGGGGGGTCTTGTTGAAGCGAAGGTCACCGAAGTGGAGCAAGATCCCCCTAACTCAAAAAACCAAATTGGGCTGCATTGAAAAGGGGTTCGCTCCCCAGCCGAAGGGGTAGGGGCAAACCATTTTCTTTCCCCTTATCTTTTCTTCCCTTCCCTTTCCTTTGCTTTTCTTTTCTTTCCTTTTCTCTTTTTTTCTTCTCTTTCTTTTCCTTTTCTTTCCCTTTCTTTTCCTTTCCTTTCCTTTCCTTTTTTTTCTTTTTTCTTTTTTTTTTCCTGTATTTTCATATCAGGTGTGCATGAGGCGCAAGAGGCGTACGCCTCAGAGGTATCAGCGCCTCTGGCATACGCCTCAGGGCGTTTTGGGAGCGCCTCGCCTGGAGGTGTGCCTCCAGGCGTACGCCTCCCACGCCTTTTAAAACACTGGCCCATATTCTGTGAGAAAAACTGCAAAGGATTAGCATGCGATTGACAGTTTCCACGTCCTCCCCACATAAACAGTAGTGGTTCACTAGGATCATGCCCTTTTTCTCTCAGAACATCTATTTTGGGAATTTTTTTTCTTTTATAGCAACCCAAATGAATTGAACTTTTAGCAGAGTTGAAGTTTTCCAAAACCAGATCCAAGGAGGGTTAG